AATGTGCGATTGTAACAATTTTGAATATCAATATTTTGTCTGACCTCCTTTTTTCTTCATCATAGTCTGAATGCAGCTAACTCTCTTTCTCATTTCTTTAAGTCATCTTCAGGAATAGTTCTCCAGGCTCCTTGAAGGACATTCAAAGCTCTTCTTTGGATGTTTCTGCCTTTTGTTCTGTTCTCTGTCAACATGATCCCACACTGCTTCAATAATGTTGAGGTCCGGGCTCTGGGGAGGCCAATGCATGACTGTGTGCTTTTATTACACTGGAAGTATCTTTTTTGGATCATTGTCATGCTAATAAAATGAAGCTGTTGCCAATCAGATACTTTCCAGATGTTGGATCAAAGTTTGATGGTACTTTTCTGGGTTTATAATTCCATCAATTTTGATTAAGCACCACAGGGTAAAATGCATGACTGTGTTTTACTGTGATATTCACTGCTGTTCCTCTCTCCTGACCTTAACCGTAAATAATGATAACAGTTTGAACAAAAACATTTCAAATATCTGAGGTCCTATGTCAGGTCTTTGCTCTTTTTTTTCCTATTTCTTCAGGACTTCACTTTTTTAGCTCTAAATTTTTTTCTTTTGTCCTCCACTTGTCCAATTTCCTCAAATCTTTTAAGGACACACTGCACACCACGCTGAGATATGTCTTTCAGTTTTCAGCTTTTAAGTTTTCAGCTAACAGAATCAGAATACTTTGTTAATCCCTAAGTAAATTATGTAATAACGTTATTACAACAAACTAACACTCTAATAATAAGTAAAAGATGGAGAAAATAAGTAAGAAAAAGTGTGGCAAAAAAGCAGGAGGAATTTAAAATTTGGAACTCATCTTGTTGGTGCAAAATATTTTTATATATCTGTCAAATGGCGTCATCGTTGGAATTTTAGATATACTACAGAAAGTATTATTTTTTGACAGGTTGCTAGTAACAAAGTGTCTAAAGATACAATTTAAAAGTTGTCTGTTATGTGTAGACACAACACTGCTTAAATTAGGTGGCTTTTTATACTTGAATGAATCCTAGGTCAGTGTTAGGTGGCGTAAGAAGTAAGTTGATTTAACAAACTTATGCACTTAATTCTCATTTGCCTAAATAGCGATTGGTGGTTTAAGACTTTTGCACAGTACTGTTAATAATGAGATAAAAAAAAAAGAATAAAAATGGTCGTCACCCTATAACAACTGGAATCCGGAAAGTTTAGAATTCATGATCAAATGTTATACATCTACTTCATGTCATTCGTCTTACCTCAGGTAAATTCTGCTGAGGCGTTTCCTTGCCCCCCCTCCAGCTGAGTCTTATTCATTATTAATGTCTGAACATGGTCCCTAAGGATCTGCCATCCATTATTAATGCCTGACAATCTCTTATTTTCTCTCCCAGGATCTCCTTCTGTCCTCCC